CTTCGCTACGGCCTTCCCGTAACCCGCGAACCGTAACGTCGCTATATTATATATCATTCTGTCACTTTGCACATTAATCGTCAGCATCATCCTATCAAGCGAATTACCCGCGCGTTCGACGTGTTAATGCGTAGTAAATTACTGACGGACGAGGAAATATTGACATTCGGAAGCGTTTATCATCGATCGTTTTTCGCTTTGTAGAATTTCGAACGAATACGACCGCGTTAAAGATGATTGATAATGGAGGGTTAACCGACCGTTGGAGAATTGTTTCGACCGATTCGTAGCAAGTGTGTTTGTATAAAACTGTTTTTGTAACTTTCGTGTTCGAAGTAAAGAATTTTTTTATTTATTCCACTTTTTCGATGTTTGGATTTTTTTTAGGTTTGGGAAAGAAAGTTGGATGTAGCTAAATAAAATAGTTTTTGAAACTTTTCTGTTCAAAGTAAAGAATTTTTCAATTTATTCCACTTTTTCGATTAATTTTTTCTAGGTTTGGGAAAGAAAGTTGGATGTAGCTAAATAAAATTGTTTTTGAAACTTTTCTGTTCAAATTATAGTATTTCGAATTTTAATTACTATTTATTTTTTCAAGGTTTCGTTCACTGGTTATTATAGTCAATTATTATAACAATATTTTATGAATTACTAGTCTACACGATTATTCAGAATTTTTATTTTAATTAAAAATTCAATTATTTAAACTGTATTTATTGACTGCAATTCAGAGTAATTTGTTGCTCACTGCCTGCAACAAGACAGTATAATATTTATCAGAAAAATGTACAATGCTAAAAAAATGTATTAATTTTTCGTGTTTCAATAAATAATGCCGCACATTCAATATTATTTACTAATGTTAATAAAATAAAAATCTAACGCACCTGATATTAAATATGAAACTGAAAAAATTTTCAATAATTACGTGTAGAAGACCATTTATATCAATATATCACTTTAAGCGTTTATTTAATTAATTCGAATATTTCTACAGAACTTTTTTCAAGTTTTCACTCAAATTTCTGTATAAATTTATGAATTGTCAAATTGTGTTTCGCCGGTGGACAGTTGTCGACATTCTTACTCGCAGGTAAACATATCGGTAATCTCGTAAAATGTGAGCTACGACGATGGATTTATTTATGGCTACGATAATTTACATCCACGTCCATTAATTCGCGAATTGTTGAAAATGTCGCGTTTGTCGGGGCAGCGGTGCATTGTAATCTACGCACCTGAGTGATGTTTCACGGTTCTTGACGCGTTTGAAAATCACACCGAACAACCGCGTAAGTTACTTTTCCAGTTGGTGAAACGTTTCGATACTTTTACCGCAAATATGAGCAAATAAAATTGTGCAACGCTGTGCGTGTATACGAGCTCCGTTGTCATGGCTTTTGCGAATATTTACATTGCACATATAATATACTGGAAGGTTTAAAACGTTCAACGACGTGCGATATTTGTGAGACACGCGTCATTTCATAAATCATCCGAATTAATTAGTATTAGTTTTTTAAATCCGGAGATCGATATTTCCAGCCACTTCTCTGAAAAGTGTAAGCATAGTAACATTTTTAACTAGTTAAGCGATTAATATATATATAAGAATATTACATATTTTAATTATATCAGTATGAACATTGCAATTTGATTTTTGTAAAAATTGATTTCTACGGTTTTTCAAAAGTTGCGGACTTTTTGAAAGTTTTGGAAAGATGATATCTATTTAATAGACGATAATGTAATTAATTTAATCAATGAGTGAAACTGTAATGTATTTAGTTTGGTGGTAGAGTCGAATTGCAGTAGAATTATTATTACGTATATGAATTTATAGAATAATTTAGATAATGTATCAGCATTTCAGTATTATAATTAGATAATTACGAAGAAGTGGTTTGCAGGAAGCCCTCCTGAAAAATTCTTAAAAAGTGATTCATCGTTTCAATTTTTAATTTCATCAATTTAATTATTTTCAAAAAATTTGATAAATTAAATCGGAAGAATAATCACCAGTAACATATCTACATAAATAAAATTAACGTTGCATCTTTAAATTGTTCTAATGCAATTCATTTCGTAATATTATTGTATTAGAATGACGAAGTTCTAGAGAATTTTAAGTGAGTCTAATATAATTTTCAGGGAAGTAGTTCCATGTAAATTATTATGTGTTCTGCGAACCTACCCACAATGACCTTTTATATCAGCAGAACTCTCAGGGGGATGATCGATTCATTGCACAATAATCGACGTGTATATACGTAATTGCATCTGGGGCATTGTTTGCAGAGAACTGGCTGTTCAGCAGACAGCAGCGTGTTGGCTTCTTGTTAGCTGAAATCCAAACCCAATGTTACCATTCCTGGTGTAATCAGTAAATGTTCGAAGGTCGAATTGAATAACGTAATAAGAATCAAGGAAAGCATCGTGAAAAGCAGACGTGAAGCTACAATAGATTATTGTTAAACGTCAACGAATATAAATAATTCTCTAACATTTGTAATTCTAATTTCATTCATTTCGAATGTACTACTTTAAATCTATATATTTCTACTATTAATTATTGTCTAGAGATTTCGTAAAATAAACTTCGTCAGCAATTCGTGTAAATAATTCATTAGCTTAATGAATATCTTTTCAATCGTCACGACATACTTAAGAAAATGTAAATGTTAAAAATTTCTACAGAAGAGATCTCGTAAATGTAAATATTATTAAAATAGAAACTGTTCAAACAAATACCATTATTACTAATTGTGCTACGTTTGCTTCAATCACAGGGAAAAGTTTCTCATAGCTTTCATTGATCTATCGATCCATATTTATTAAGTCTATTAGTACCACCAACTTCTAAATTGTTCAGCGACCTTTAAAATTCTAAATTTTACAATAAACTTTCAACGTTCCAAATTTAACAACGAACTTCGAAAGTTCCAACCCCTACATCAAATTCCCCTATCAAACCACCGAAATACCGCGATCCCGTCAATAACATTAATACTTCAAATTTCGACATGCGTTTCACTTCTCGTTCTTCGTGAGGCAGACTGCAATTACACTTTAGATGTTAGGGAATGACGATAACGAAGGAAACGTTGCTCGCGCAGCGAAAACTGATTCCCAAGTATTTCTGAGAACTTTCCTCGCGATTTGCAGTTTCTTGGCAAACACTCGGATCGCTGGCGTTTAAGCGTTTCACCCCGGCCGATTACCAAGAATCAAATCCTTTCCCCGAGACACACTTGCGCCCGGCTTTTTATATCTAAACTTTACATCTGTCGAGTTTCTTAAGGCGACGGTGTACCTCGTCCCCTTATCTGCTCGCCGTTCGGTTTCATTTAAACTTTTTAAACGGTGTCCTTTTTTTATTTTTCTTCAGTTTTGCGTTTTGTTTTGCTTTTTTTAAATTCTTTTAAATTATCCTTGGTTTGCATAATTCGAGAAAGAGACCAGTGGAGGATACGCGGTTCGCGGTCCCACGCTGTGGCTTTGCTTGCGGTTTGTTCGACCCTACACATGATACTTGAAAAAATAATAAGACGCTTAAGATTAGCCGTATGTGTATACATGGCGTAGTGTTGTAAAGAATAATTTTGTTACGTGGAATTAGTTATAGAATATAAACGATCGTATAATAATAATCCTTCTTTGATTTTGAGGAAGGATTGTTAACGTATTTCCCCTCCCCCTAAATCAAAGAGAGGCAAGAACAGCTGTTTTCAAGTGGAATTGAAGCTTTTCAATGAAAGGAATAAGATAAGCACTGATAATAATAATAATTGCCGCTTGAACTGTCAGCCGTAAGTAAAGATCCCCGTGTGGTACAATTTTCTTTTATCTTTAAGGCGTTTTCTAGCATTGATGGGAGGGTTAAATGGCTGAAATACGAAGAAAATGTGTAAACAAATGGTAAATTGGGTAACCGAAAATTATAACGAACTCGATATATTACATTTACAAACGTTCAGTGTTGGTATTAACACTGAAACTACCAGGCAGGTCAAAATGATCCGTTCCTGATTATTTTGCTATTATTAAAAAGGTAACAGATGTTTCTCCGAGAAATTACTAAAGAAACTGATTTAGCATCAGACAAACTGAATCGTAAATCAATTAAAGTTCGAATAGATTCTTGGAGTTCCTGTAAAGTAATTCCAAAAAGTGTGTTCAACTGCTCGGTTTTAGTGTTAATTACACCGAGAGTGTGGTTGTAAATCAGAAATATTAGAAATGTTGGTAAACCGTTGGAACTTTCAAATGTTCGAATGACTGAAAGCTCCCCAATCGAAAGTACAATCAATATCTCATCGATCAGCCGTTAAAGAGCTGGCTCTCGCAATTCCCTTAAGTAACTAATGAAGAATAATAACCCGTTGCCACATCCTTTCGGAGTAATCCCTTCCAGCGGGTTGCGCCTTCGGTTCGGTTTAAAGTTACTTTCGGGTTACCCGGCTCCATTCATTCGGATCGAATCACATTATAATTACCATGCGATTTTTTATTTTTAGCCGCGGCCCTTTCACAGTGCCGGACGTGCAACGAATCGAAATGAAATTTAAGGAGGCACCGGATATCACAGCAATATTTCCCAATTTAATCAGAATCCGCTCGGACGCCGGCCACGCGCGTTTGACTTTTACCGCAATTTATTTAGCAATTTCGCATTAATTAACCCGACGACGTGCAATCGATGCACTTTTAAACTTTCCGACAGTTTGTGTTCAAGATTACGATTTGTTCATCGTGTCTTGTTTGTTAATTAAATTATTTTGGTGTTCTTAATATTTTTAGACGATTCAAATCTGTTTGAATGTGATGTATATAATTACAGATACGATCGGAAATCATAAAAATTTTCAATTTGAATAGAGGCAGGATGATGAAATAAAAATTGCAATACTTGCGAGCGGAGAATCAATTGATTAAATATATGTAGCGTTCTTTTTTGCCGTTCGCGCATGTTTAATTGGATTTCTTTTACATTGTTCCAGGTGGATCGGCGACTGTGACAAAATGGTGGATCGGCAAAAAGTGTTTCTAATGGTGTTACTAGCTCTCCTAATTTATCCGAACGATATCTTTGGTATGTTTTTTTAAAATAAAAGTAATATATATAGATATGTACAATATAAAATATATTCTAATTAGACTGCAAATTTTTATGCAAATCTATACTTTTATATATAGACATCAGCTGAGTAAAGTTGTATATTAAATTTCGTTTCTCATTTTAGTCAAATAGAAAAAGTGCATTTATAAGTACGCTATAATTACAATATGTTTACAGTCTAATTATAATAACATTAGTTCGAAAATATATTTCACAATAAATATTTTAGAAAAAACATTTATAATAAATTCACTACTAAAGTATGCAAAATATTACGTAGGAAACAATTTATTAGAGTAATAATAATTTCAAATTATTCTTGTCGATTAAAAAATGTTTTAACGGTACAATTACAATTTTACTGTTAGAAATATTCAAAACTGCGCGTCATACTTCAGAATATTCATTGCTTGTTTTATGAATCGATATGATTTTCATTTCGTGTGATATTGTTCTTGTCTCTCCGAATTGATTAAAATGGAATTTATCTGTTTTCCAAAATATTTATTTCTCTTAATATAATTAATTAAATAATGATACAACTATAAAAATAAATAAAGTTTATTTAATAAATAATAATACCCTTCTCACTGATACTTTACAAGAAACATTTCATGTATGAGCAGCTCACTGGCCAAATCGATTAACTCCATTTTTTACATCCTTTCAGATGTTATCATTAAACCGCCTCATTAGCTCTTAACTTTTCATATTTAATATAAATTTCATTATGACTGGATTTAGTACCATGAAATAATAAAAAGTCTTTTGGTCATGGAAAAATCGCAATAATAATAAAAGTCACTTCAAGAATATACTCTTTTATGTATTCTACATATTTCTTAGCTTGAACCTACACCACTGTTATTCAAGTAAAATACATTCTATTACAATGATTCAATTTTCCATTGAAAAGGGAATTTCAAAAATCAATACACAACTATCATTATTTTCCTCGACTTTTCGTTTTGTGGAGTTAATCGATTTGTTCAATGAGTAGCTCATATGTAAGCACGTACATGAATCACCATAAATCTTAACCTACCTTTCACCGAAGTAACGGCAATTCCAAATAACTACTTTCCTAACGACCGAATAAATCCTCGATAGGAATACTCGCAAAAGAAACCATCCCCAAAGAAAGGTCGCAAAACCAATACAAAAATAGAGGAAATTCTGGAAAAAAAACAATACCGAGATTTTCGAATCGTATTTGCAGGCTCAAGGGATCTGTGTTAGTCAAGTGTGTCGGTTTTTAAAAGCCCGTTCATCCATTTTCGACAACCGTAGAAACGACAAATCCGGATGACCCGGGGAGAGAAACCGTCTATCCGCGCGACTGTGCGGCGACCCCGGTGTCAGTTAACGTGAAAATTTCTTTGCCGGGGAGAATTTTAAAAGCGGCTGAACTCCGCGCCCGCGCGCACGACGCGACGAGGTTATGATGCATCGCGGGTCGCGCGACCAATTTCGCAACTAAGCCGTTCACTTCACGACCACCTGTAAATACAATACCGGAACTAATCCGCTTTTGAAACGCACCGCTGTCACCGACGATACACGATGATATTGGTCTTACGACCCTTCCCCTTCCGGTGAAATATTACTTTTTGCGAATGCCAGCCCGCGCCGCGCCGCCTGCACCTACCCTTGCCAACGGCGGACCGGATGAATCGTCAAGTCTCCGGGAAATATCGTCGACTAGGAAAAACTGGGCCCTGTGCTCCCTGCGAGTTTATCCTGAACAATCAGGCCGATACACTATGTGTGTGTGTGTATGTGTGTGTGAGTGTATGTGCAACAAGAAGAGGGTCGAGGGATGATTCTTTGGTTTCCGAACGTGATTAGGATGCTGTGTTCATGCAGATTTCTGTTTCTTTGTGGGATGAGTTAGCTTACTTTGACAGTTTAACTTTTTATCCTACAATGCTGTGGCGAATATTTTAAATAGACTTTAAATACAGTTATGAATGTCACCAATTTCGTTTAAATTGAGAGTAACTTCTGTAATGTTGAGTTAGACTTGGAATGAAAATTTTCAACTAAATCCGATTGATTTAAATGTTACTTGTCTGTTATCAATCCTTAAACTTTGGAGTAAACTTATTTTTTATCTAAGTTTTTATCTAAGTTTTTATCTAAGCATCTAAGCTTATTTTTTATCTAAGCATCAAATTCTTATCTTTTTCTACTAAATTACTAGCTACAAAATAGCTTCGTCAAGCTCAGTTATCAAGCAAGATAACCGATGTCGAATGAAAATGTTTAATAATGTACTAAGTTGATAGTAGTGCAATGGATTGTAACGCAAAAATGAATGAACAATTGTTAAGATTTTCATGGCGCTTAAATGTTAATTTTCTATTATCAATTGTGGCACTTCGAAGCAACAGTAGACATATAATGAACGTTGAACTTTTTTCATTTTCGATAAGCAGTTCTGTCGAGTGTAATTATGAGAGAAATTATATTAGTACAAGTGGTTAGAGTAGGTAAAAGAAGAAAAGGAATTAAGTGAGCTCTTCAAAAATTGGATCAAAATAGATCCGAGTAATATCGAAGAGTTAAAATGACAAGTAAACAGAATTTGAAAGGTTACGCTCTTCCATTTATCCATTTGAATTCCCCTATACTCGTTGACAAATACGACAACGAAGGACGACAATTACCTTCTCAGTTTCCCCGCTTTATTACATCAAGTTCCGGCAGCTAGCCTCCTTATGAAAGCTTGTAATGCGAGCGCGTATCATGGTCCCCCCTCGCCCCTCCCGAATTAAGTACACTCCTAGATGAATTGCAACTTTGCTTCAACTTTTCTTACGCTCCATTATCTGCTGATTCGCCCGTGGAAGATAAATGGATAATTGAAGCAAACGCAATAATCTTTGCGCGAGAGAGATGCTTCGTACACTGAATAAGAAACTGCTTGGCTTTATCAGAAATCTATTGTTGCTGATACTGACAAGTTGTGTCTTGGTGAAACTGTCATTAATAAATAATATAGTTAGTATAATAATTTGTGAACGAGGTATCAAGCAATAATGGATTTTATTATGAATTTCGTTGTAACAATTTCTGAGTTATTGATACAATATTTTAGTTACTCTCCTCAACTCTTAATTGGTTAGAGAACTAGTTGGTGTATATAAGTATGTAGAGAAATGAAATGCTAATCTAAGTACTGAAAATTTGATGTGAAGTTAACTGGAATATTTATTTTCCTGTGTTAATATGTTAAGAGCTGCGAATAATGTAACTTAAAGAAGTTAAAGCGTTCTTATGGCGAATTATATTCAACTAAAAAGATAACCGTGATGAAAACTGAAAATAATCGAAAAAAATTCCTTTTAATTTATTTATATAAAAATATATATATGGGTTAGGTTAAGGAAGCGATAAAGGTACATGTAAAATTATTTAAAACTTTCCTTCGAAAAATTAAAACGGGATAAAAATGCTTTTTCAAGCAGTTCAATTCACTTTTTCAGAAACCAGAATGCGCAGAATTTCTCAAGGAGTCGCATCTCGTAGGGAAACAGCAACGTTAAGTGATTTACAGATCGTAACGCACGCGAGCTCCGTAGACTCTCGGAATCAGTTGCGTAGGCGCGAGAGCGCAGACATGAATTATTCTTTGACAATTCCGGGCCTTAGGTTCCCGTGCAATTTACAAGTGCGCGGCGCGCAGCCGTGTTTAAGGTTTCCTGGAGGATGCATAACGCTGCGAAAGTCGCGATTACGTCGAATAGTTCGCGACGCCGAACTCGTTCGAAACAAGCATCGGGGCTTTATTGTAAACGCGGAACTACTGCCTCGCGATCGCGGTTATTCCGTGTAGTTCCACGGGGAAGTATCCGAACCTTCCCAGCGTTCCGCGAAGGGAAGAGGAGCGGAGATAACGTTGCACGCCGGTACAAAGAATGACGTTGCGCCCTCAGTATCGGCCACCAATTCCTATTGATTGGCCCGGCCATGATGAAAGTGGAATCTTGCGAAGGGAACCTTGGAAATAGTAAACTTCAAGTATTCAACAACCTGTATATTTCCTTATTTATTATTCAGTTCTACTTAAAATGCCATTTATCGTGTTCGTATGGTTTCTAACAATATTTAACACCTTGCTGACCGGTCGCGATTTAACACGTATTTCCACGATCCCAATCGTTCACGAAGTTGCATTCTGCTTCGTTGATTTTTATCTGAAGGTAATATGTTTTAAGCATTTCAACGTATATGTAAATGAAGCATGTACATTGAAATTTAAGATCGTCCTCGGCTAAAATTACCGTCAGGTCTAAACAAGGCTAATTCGATACCTTCGGTTGACTAACGTTAACATTAGAACTACCGAACATTTATTACGATCAGTGTGTAATTCTTATAAAAATTGTAGCAATAGGTTACTTGAGTTTTTCCGGATATTCGTTATACTATTCAAGTGATACTATTTATCTTCAAGGTGATAACGAATATTCAATGTTTTTAAGATAATAATTTCGAAACAAATCTAAATCATTCGTTTTGACTGGTACGGTGATTGTAGTGTTAATGAAATTTTAAAGGAAGTGAAAGCAGGATTTGAAAGTTCGAAAAGTATTTCCTGTTAATAAATTAATTTTTGTACTTGAAAGATGTTTTTTCTGTTTAGTCGTAAGCTCTGAGTTTTAAAACGAAAGATTAAGAATATTTGAAACGATCACACTATCACTTTATAAACAAATTACAAATCAAACATTTCATTCTCTACACTCTACGAAGACTATGAAAAGTATAACACAAAACCAGCAACAAACATACATTACAAAAAACTGTTCAAACTTCAAAACTATTCTTCAAACTCCATTCTCAATCTACAAAAATTTCGTACATTTGCTGTTAAGAAACAACACAGTGTCTCAAGGAAAAGAGAGAAAACGCGCGTTCCCAAGATTCATCGAGATTGTCGTGTTTCTACTACGGAGATCTCCGTTTCG